AAGTCTTAGTTGTCATATTTGACCAGTTAAAATATAATACACTATTTTACCATACATCATTGTGAGACAATTATGCTTATGAAACAAAGCTTCATGCTTATGAACCACCTTTACCATGACAATACCAAAACACTTATCCAAGTACATTGTATCACTGACTGATTTGCTTTAAGCAGGTAGAATTAATAAGTAAATTTAAAAAATTGTTAAAGATTTTACTTAGGGACAATGCATGGCCTACAAGACATTTTGTGACAAAACGGGTCCTAATAAAAGGTTATTTTTAATGAGTAATACCTTATTAAGAACAGCAATATGGCATTTTAAATCTAATTAGTTTATTCCTTTCCCCACCGACAGAGGGGAAAAAAGAGATAAACTAGCAACTGAGAAGAAAATAATGCAATATAAATTGGTACAGAACTAGTAGAAAAGAGTAGTGTTCATTCTGCTAAGAGTGCATTCATATTGGTCATATCTAAAGGGTACAAAAAGACAAGCAAAATGTGTAGTCTGAATTAATTACAGTAAAATTGCATTGAGGCAAGAAATCTTTGGAAGTGTACATTCAAATATAAAAGGAAGAAATCTTAACAGAGGTGAAGAAGAAAAAAAGGAGGCACAAAAGGGATGCAAAAAACTGCCTGCCAAGAATGACCAAGGAAATGATCCTGTCTGAGTTTCCTATTGGTTGGATCTAGCAGGTTTGCATTGAAAGGAGCCTGGGACTGAACCAATACCTGCACTCTGGGGCCCCTCAATGGAGAAGGTGCCAGAAAAGGCTTCAGATCCCAGTTTACAAATGAATCCTGGTATTATTGCCTAAGTTGCTGTAGAATTATTAGAAGCAACCAGCAATCCCCAAAACCAGTCTTCAAAATGATCGGGATGTTTTTTGTTTGCTATATAAAGAGCATAAACAACTCTGAGACACAATCATGGATTCCAGGTGCAATATAAGGAATAAAATGGGCAACAGAAAAGCTGAAGAGGAACATGTATGAATTTCTCAGGAGCTCAGGGTTATAAGAGGCACAGTGTACTTCACAACTAGAGCCCATGGGCTCCAGTCCTCTGGAGCTTATACCTAGGCTGGGCTCTTTTCATGGTCACTGAGTCTGAATGTGAAGAAATGCCTTGGTATTCTATCTTTGGATTTTGAGGGAACCTGTTACCGATATCTGACCATGGCATCCAGATAAAGCCCTGGATTTCTTGAAGGGGCTAATATGCTGTCAAGGGTTTGCTTTATGTTTTGTATAGGTGCCCACAGAAAAAGCAGGTCATACGATACATAGCCACAGAAAAGCTGTTGGATCCTTTAGCCCTGAGATAGACCACCTTCCATTTTTCAGACTTGAATTTACATAGTTGGATAGTGTCCAGGGAGATGGCCTCATAAAACAACTTAAGATTTTTTTTCTCAGAAGGAAGCTGATCATTCAGGCATAATCCTTGAAAATATTAAGAACTCTATGGGGTTGGGTTTTTTTGTTTGTTTTGTTGTTAGGGTTTTGGGTTTTTTTTTGTTTGGTCTGTGGTCTTTTTTGGAGGGGAGGGGGGGTGTCATTGCTCTTTTTTTAAGTGCTCAAACAACAAGTATCGAACTTGTAGCATGAGCCACAGAGATTTCCCAGAAACAACTGGGATATTTCACAGTCCAGTATACATTTTTTGAAGGGTAGGGCTATGCTGGCAGATTAACATTTACATGGCACATGACAGCACAGTGAGAAATCACAGTGTAACCCAAAGGTTGTGTCTTTGGAAAACAATGACTAAGCTGCTATGAGCCAGCTGAGTACAGATGGATCCATGCCATCAGTATGAGCTATTCCCAACTCTGACCTTGAGTTTCTTTATTGGGAAAGCTGTTTAGCTTCTGTCACAGCTGAGTAGGAATCCAAAAAAAGACATAAGCAACATGGCTAGTGAGGGGTAGGTGTGGTGGGGACAGGAGAGGGAGGAGAAGGTGAACTCAAGAAAGTGAACTCAGCTGTTTACATGATGGTAAAGATGCCACAGACCTGAACTTATCAACATGTCAGCTCATTACAAAGATGTTAGTTCATTACAAACCCAAATATCTTTACATTTGTATCTCACTCACTGCTTATTCCACTGTACAAGCAATGTGTCTTCGAAAAGAAAATAGAGAGTCACTCAAAATAAATGTGTTTTCTTCAGGGAGTTTATAGCTGGTATCCATAATACAATATTTCATTTTCTATGGAGCAGATTCTTATGCACAAGTTATTAAAACCATTGAATTTAGGTGATCAGCATATCCAATTCTAATGCTGTCCCAGTGATTAAAGCATACTGCTAGAATTTTACCCATACCAAAAATTTTAAAATGATACTTTGGATTTGCAAATCCATGTATATTATGGATTAGGTTAACAAGTACAGAATTTGTTAATAAGTACATAATTTTAAGAAAATGACTGAATTTTCCAGTGATTTTGATTAAACTTGCTAGTGTATCCAGGACAATAATTTGCAGCACATTATCTCAAAATAAGACATATAACAGTTCAAGGAACTAGACGAGATTTGTTATGCAACATACAAACTGGTAGCAAACAGCACCTCTGAGAATGGCTTTTCACAAAAGATTTCCTGATTAGCTACAGAGCTTCATAATGACCACCTCAAAAAACAAACAAACAAACAAAAAACAACAACCAAAAAAAAAAAAAAAAAACCAAGGAGGCAAAAGCTCAGGAATAACTTGAAAATGCAGATCTCACCTTGTTTCATATATACAAGATTTTTACCAGTCCTGAGCAGCAGCTCCACAGGTAACTTCCAGAGAGCTCTCAACTCCTATGAACGACCAGCTAAGCATTTATTTTTAACCATCATTATTTTCTCCAGTACTACAACAGCACCTGGAAGTCCAGACTGGCACACCATTTTTATGCAAGAGATGGCTACCAAAGTATCATTTGCAATATCTCTGGTAACAACTCCCATAAAAATTTCTACATACATAAAATATGTGAAATTAGTTTTAGACAGTAGTACAGTGGTAGGACTGATGAGCCACAAGAAGAAGGAAGATTCTGCACAATAAAGGGCAGGAAGAAAAAATAAGAGAGAAAACCAAAGGGAAAGATACAGATTACATAATCCTACCCCAAAGCAGGCTAGGATACATTTTCCTAACCCAATCTATACCCTGACTAGCCTGTGCTTACAATATTCTGCTTATTGTAAATAACTCATACAACACAAGCCTAGTGCTGGACACAAATTCACTACAGTTCACTAAAGCTGTCTCACAATAGCTAAGATTCAAAGATCTAAAATAGACCAGAATAAAACTCTGACTTAAAAAACAAACAAACAAACAAAAAACTACTTTAGAGTGTTGTAGGTCAAAAAGTTGGAGGAAGTCAATGAAGGAAGGAATTATTCCAACAATAAATTACCTTCTGAATGAAGAGATTAATTTGATGTTTAACATTTTTTTCCTCTCATTTCTGCAGTAAATATTTCAATGATACAGTTCAGGGTACACACAGTAATTTCTACTCCAGTTTCATGTATCCCAGTTTGTATCCCATCATATCTCAAGTAATTTTCTACATGAGAGGCAGTAGACATTCCAGACACTAAAAGCAGTGAATCTGCAGGCCCATAGATTCTTTGGACTGGGTTGGCTAAAAGCTAAAGTTCAATTCAGCTCTCCAAGGACTAGGATTATATCAAGTCTGTAGGGAATACTGCTTTTACTGGTAGTCCTGACTGGTCAGGGTCTACTTTGCTATACTGGTTGTAAAGGTGAGTTTAGTTTGGAGAGCTTGAATCCAGCTCTCCACTACCCATGTGGGATGGCACAATTTGCCAGAGAGTGGTAAGGTATAGTGCATAATTCTTACAGAAGTTTCTGGACACGGTGATTTCTATCCCATATAGAAGCAACACTCCCACCCCCTTCAACCAAGAACTTCGTGTGTTCTGTTCAGATACACTAGTTGTTTCAGGCTGGGAATTGTTCTTTTGATTTTGGAATTGCTTCTTACCCAGCAATTCCTGCAGTGCTTATTTCCCACTTTTCCAATGCTTCCACCTATGAATATTTCCCCTAATTAAAATCCCTTCTCAGTTAAAATCACTTTCTTAGTGACTCATTCTTCTAACCTCTAGGATAAGGTTGCTAAACGTCTTCTCTGTACTCATCATCTAAGTTTCACACGTATTTCCCGCCAAGCCCAGTAAAATTTTGGCTTCCTCGGAATCTTTATCTCCTTAGTCTCTTTGCCTTCCCAAAACCTGCCTTTGACGATTTACAGGACACATTTTCTCCTTTGTCGCCCAACAATCCTTTCCTACTCCTTTCTCCTCTTCAGTTATCCCACTGGCATTCACTCCTCCTTGCCCTTCTGAACACCCTTCCTGCAAAATTTATCATTCATCTTCCCAATACACATATCACCCTTGTTCTCTGTCTTGGTCAGTTTCCCTCTTTTCCTCCCGGATCCCTTTTTCTGCTCCTGAACTGCGCAAACCTTACTCTCACGATCTCCTCCGGCATTCGCCCCCCAGCTCCTTTTTTTCACCACATCTGTCCTGCCCCCGCTCCTACCACACATCCTGAAGCCTCCCTCGCCCGTCCGTCCCACCCTGGAAGTGCCGGCCGGCCCCAAACTCCATCCCCGGCAGCGAGCGAGGCGCGGCGGTGCCAGCCCAGCCCAGGGCAGCCCAGCCCGGAGCCGGTCGCTCCGATAAAGCGCAGAGCTTTGGGGCCGGGGCGCCCTCCAGAGGCACCGCCGGGCCCTGCCCTGCCTGCCAGAGCCGGGGACACCCGGCAGGGACGCGGCGCAGTGAGGGCCAGGGCAGCCCGAGCGCTTCCCACAGCCGGGGAGCGCAGCCCGCCCGCGGCTGCTCCATGTCCGCTCGGCGGCCGGGGCGGAGAGAGGGAGGGCACAGCTCGTCTCCCGCCCCCTGCTCGCCTTCTCCTTCTTCTCCTCCTCCTTCTGGCGCCCGCCCTCTGTTTCTCCTTCCCTCCCTGCAGCGACGGCGAGACCGCGAGAGCGGCGCCCGCCCCGCCAGGGCGAGGGAAGGAGGCAGCCCGCGGGCGGGAAGCTGGATGAGGACGTGGTGCGGGCAAGGCAGCTCCTCGGGCATGAAGGGGACCGCGGGGACGCTGCCCTGCCCTGCAGCCGAGCGGGGACATCAGGTAAGCGCCCCACACGCCTGCCCGGCCCGACCGGAGGCGGCACTTCCAGTGCCGGGAGAGGGCAAGCGTCCCCTGGAAAGTTGTCCTGCCGCGGCCGGCCGGGGGGCGCAGGGCAGGGGCGGCGGGCGGGCGGCAGCCGCGCTGCGGGCGGCACATCGGTGCGTCCGGCGGCGCCCGCTCGGTGCTCGGTGCCCCGGCGCCGTGCCCCAGGCTGTGCCTCCCCGCCGGGGCGAGGCGCGCAGCGCTGGGAGCGCGGCCCGGCGTCCCGCGGCCCCAGCGGCTCGCCACCGGTGCCAGCGGAAAGTTTCCAGCGGGGTGAGGGCAGAGGGAAGCGGGAGAGGATCACCGCGGGACGGCAGCGTGGCGAGGGAGAAGCAGCCTGTCTGTGCTGCCGTGGGCAGAGGGTGCCGCAGCTTCACACAACTTGTTCCGTTGTTTTCACTCTGGTTTGTTGCAGAGGAGTAGGATCAAGTATCCCTGCAAGTGTAATGTTGACATCTTTGATGGCTACATCTTACTCTTCTGTGAAATTTACCTGTTTGTGTCAGATTAGTTATGTTTAGGAAAAACAAACTGCAAAGTCTTACCAGAAAAAGGCGCACAGCAGTACGCCTGAGACTTCAGTAGGTTTGTTATGTTGTATGACATAACAGTAAATGCAACTACTGCTCTTTTTGATTCACATTTCATTGGGGCTTTTTAACTGAACATTTGTGGATTAAGCAGAAACTGAGTAAAATGTGTGACTCATCATAACGCTGTTGGAGATCAAATCCCAGTTTAAATGTTTTGCAATAATTTTCTTCCCCCTTTGCTCATACATATAAAGGACAGACACAAGTAGTTTGCTTAGCTCTTCTGAAGTAACTTAAGGAATCAAAAGTGAGCAGAGTTCCACAGAGAGGTTGTAGGTACCTTTGCTGCAAAGCAAAAAAACCGTTTAAAGAAAAATACCTAATCAACAAATCAGTACCTTGGGACGCCTTCTTCCATCTCAGCCTGAACAAAGATGTGTACATTGTGTACTGCACTGAGAGTGGAAAGATTCAAGCCATTTCAAATGAGGCAGTTTCCCCTTACAGAGGATGTTCTGCACTAACTCACTTGGTTAATCAGAGGTAGTCTACCTTAACTAGCAGCTACAGTTCTGTTTCACTTACAAATTTTCAAATACCGAGGTAATTCCATAATATTTGTTGCAAAATCTAAAAGAAAAACTTAAGTGCAATGAACCTAATTTCATTAGATCAAAGACATATGAGTAGCTTATTGGTTTGGAGGTTTATTTTCTTGGTTTTGAGGTTTTTTTGGTTGGTTGGTTTTTAGTATAAAAAAATTTGAAACCAGATGTGGGGGAGCCTTCAAAAGTAGCCTAGAATTTACAGCATACATCTGTTGCTGCAAGTAATACCTGACTGTTGAACACTGATAAGGCACCATACTTCAGGTGATTTTCAGGTTGGGACTTTTCTTAATAGGCACATGGATATATCTGTTAAGAAGTTCTATCACAGTTAATGACCCAATGCAGCTCTAAGACTTTTTTACATGTTCTCAGGCTTTTATTAGTGGACTTTTATATTGCATTAAGCTGGGAGAGGGCTGAGGAAATAGAATAGTAGATATGTATAAAACTTAAAATTATTCCCGCTTTTCTGCATTTTGTTCACTGGTTGTGTTTTTGAATTTTTTTCTTTTTCAATGTCAGCTTCAAATACAACAAGTCTGGGCTTTCATGCAAGCGACAGGTTTTATTAAACATATGATACAATTTTCTATTGCAAAATGTTCTGTAGTTCTTACTTCCTTGGAAAGATAAGATATGAGTAGGGAATTATAATTTTTCTTGACAGCATGACAGTTAAAACTTGGTTTGCATAGGAGTGAGCATGTGTAGTGTATTAAAAGAAGATGTCATTCTGAACTGTCTGACAAACTTTTCAACGTGTTTCTTTTTTTATGTGGAGGTGAATATATTGCTTGTAAAATCACTACTAGGATGTAACTTAAGATGTAAGGATGAATTGATGTCGTGATGTTGGATCAAACTTAGGATTTTTTGTGTAGTTTTAATATTTAGAAGCCTATGGATTTAGTGCTCAGTTCTGTAATCAGATATTTGAATTAATTTTATTCATATCAGCATCTTAGTTGAATTCACACAGAAGTACTGGTACTTAAGCTATGCAGGGGTAGAATATGGGTAGAATATACTGAAGCAAAATGCTTTGTTTGTTAATAATATATCTGTTCTGATAACATGTCCAAATTGTATATAGGGATTGCTATCAAAAGCTGAGCTCATGTTAGAAGTCAGAAGCTTAAACATGGTTGAGTGTCCAACAAATATTCCTGTACAGAGTGCAAAATCTTAAGCAATGAAAATGCCCAGGTGAAGCAAGGGGGGGGCATATAAAATGCCACTAAGGTATGGAAGTGTGGGAAGTTAGGTAAAGGGCAAAAAAAAAAAGAGGAGGAATTTAGGAATTGAGGGTTTGGGGTTTTATTTGCTGTGATTTTTTTTCTTTGTTTGTTTTGGGGGGGCTTGTTTGTCTGGTTTTTTAACATGAACATTTGCTCTAAAAACACAGTTACCTCTTTTGAAGGTAATACACACCTTGAGGATTTTGGGTAAAGGTGTACATGAAGAAACAGGTGAGGTATTTGCTTTTACCTGAAAAGTGTGGTTGCATATGCAGCTTTTTTTCTTATAGTTCTGTTTGTAGACCTTGTACTGCTCTATTTAAAGGCATCTCTTGAGCCATAATAGAAAACTTTCTACTTGGTTGTTAAACCCATCTGGTGTGGTTGGAGTAGATAATGCCATTGTAAAACTAGTTAACTGTGTTTAGTGTTTTTACAAAAGCAATAAACTGATAAAAAGTGGAATATACTGGCTAAAGAGACTTTTGTCTTAGTTACAAGTTCTCAGGCACTGAGAAGTACATATGATAAACCTGTAAAAACACAGGGCTAGATTTAGGGAAAGGGTTCCTTCTGGTCACTACAAACAAGTAAAGTTCCAACAAAATGTGCATGCGAAGTGAAAGCTCATTCTGGGTGTTGATTTCCTCTCAACTGAAAAACTCCTGATTATTTAATTTTTGCTTTCTTTGTCAACTTTTTTAGACCTCTAATAGTTAATATTTTCTGCTTAATTCCTCTAATTTCTTCCTTTATTCCATAGGTAGAGAATGTTCTGTATAGGAATTACAGCTGTAGCCTTACCAACAAGTAAACTGTAAAGATTAGCTTCAGTTCAAGGTAGCATGTTGTCTTTTATGCGAGAATATGGCATTTCTGATCATTTTTACTCATGGTACTTCTAACCACCAAAATACCACAGTAGCTACACACTGTGTGTCCTCATCCAGTATTTTCTCACTTGATTATTTTTAGTTAACTATTTACATTCTTTCATTGCATCTTAATTTTCTCCTAGATCATGTTTTCAGTTTAACATATTTTTTCTGAGTTTTAGTCCTGTATGCCAAAATTTCTAGTCCTGGCTTCTAGATCTCCTTGGCCTAATGTCATGCTTAGATGTAAAAACTGTACTCAGTCACTTACTTCTCTTATTAATAAAGTGATTAATATCTATCAGAAAAGACTAGGGGAGCCTTGTCTTAATATGGTAATGTAACCTATTTTCCTAATTAACCAATATAATGGGTTTCAGTCCATAGGTATTATAGGAGTGTATAAATATGAGTATTGTTGTCTTTTAGAAACTACTATGAAGTCCAAAGCAGGACTAGTATGTATTTCTTTAAGAAAGGTTTTGTTGCAAAACATCACAGCTTTAAAGGAAAGAAAGTGTCTTTTAATTTAGAAATTTATTTTAATAGAGTAGTTTTACTGAGCAACCAAATGCCTTTTCCTGAATGTCAGGTCAAAATACTCCTGGGCAGCGTCCCTTGCAATAGTATCATGTATACTATTTGTAATTAAAATTCTTTACACAAACCTCATAAAAATTAACAAGGTAATATAAGTGCTAGTTTCACTTTTTAGTTTTTGACAATTGTTTGTAGTAAGTAACTTTAGTCACCAAAAATGGGTAATAATATGTCAAATTATTGAGCTGTTTGATTAACTACTATGCTTTAAATAATTTCTAAGGGTCATTCAAGTTTCACATTTGTACATATTTTTGAAAACATTAGAGGAAAACTAAAAAAAAAAACTGATTTTCTTTTAGAGGTGAATGGCATTGAAAACAACAGTCTTTCGTGAAATTGCTGCAATATGAAATTTGTTGTTATATTTGCCTGTTTTCTACAAATATGTACACTCCTAGGTTTAACAGAGTGATCCTGAACATCTAATTATTTTTTTTCCACTTCACTGAATTGACTCACTGTGATGTTCCAAATTAATATTTTTGTAGATATTGCTGTCAAGTCACATTACGTATATCAACCTCTGAAATTGAAGAATTGCTTTTGGAAACGTCAATATATCTGCGTCACATAAAAGTACCTAAATAAATTCCTTGCTTGTGGTTGTGCATTAAGCATTCTATACTTCTGAGAATATATTTATTATAAGTAATTCTGAAAACCTCATAACATCATGTCTGTATAAATCTGGAGAGATAACTTCTATTTGTTTTCTAAGAGTAGTACTCTGGAATTTGGATTTTGTATATTGAACACCCTTGCTGTTATCAAAGATACTGTAAAAACATGTTTTTCTATGTTGCAGAAAAGTAGATTGATTTTCAAATTGCAATTTAGAGAAAAAAGTTCCAGGATTCAAGAAATTTCACAATGTACACCGAAAACCCTGTTCATTAATCTAAAAATGACATAGTAGCATATATAAGTTGATTCTAAACCAGCAATTTATTTGATGTCAGAAACAAAGAATTTTTGTCCATAACTATCTGTCAGTTTCCCCAAATTATTTATTTGCTAATGAGGAATTGCAAGCTAATGTGCGGAATTATTTGAGAAAAATGTTGCATGTGAAAAATCATATCATGATGCTGGTTCCCT